ATGGCTCTGCCAACAAGGGCCACTAGAGGGAGATAGTGAGTCCAGAGGAGGAAGACCCGCTTCCCTTCTTCTGTTCGTTTCCTTTTCCTGTGAGGTCATTCTAGCAAAACTCCTTCACCTGGGCAGCCGCAGAGCCTTCCTGTAGCAGCAGTTGAATCCACTTTGCAGAGTTTTTCAACAGCTGGTTTTGCAGACCCAGCTTCAGGGTGTCCCAGTCAAAGACATCAGCATCAGCCAAGTGGCACTCCTTCCCCAGTGGTGCGGGTCCTTCCTCCACTCTCAGAAACACCAGACACCAGCACCAGATTTAGAGGTCTGAGTTTCCGCTCTGTGGAGCCCCTCTTCTAAGTTCCTAAGTTTTCATAATTCCAGATGCTTCCTTTTGTTCTCCTAACTCTATGAATTATAGATGCCTCCTGCTGTTGCTGTCTCCATGGTATCTCAGAGTTGTCTTTTTACCTTTTCAGTTAGTTATAGTCAGCTTTATACCTAGTTATTCCTCCAACTATTCTTTATATTAAATTCCCTCTGTCCAATAACTGGTATGGTTTCTGTCTCATTGGCTGGACCCTGACTGATACAGAAGTTGGTACTGGGAAGGGTCGCAGAAAATAGACCTCAAAAGTGGGACTAGGGATCTGGTTTGGTTGTGTCATTTGGGTTTCAATGCGCTGAGCTCCTTGCTGGTGAGAAACGCAGAGCAACCAATCCACGGCATGCTGTGGCATCATGCTTAATCAAATTATCACCTGCGGTTATTTGGGATGACGTGCCAACTCAGGCAAGTGCCTTGGGGGCCCCAGTTTTGCACTCGACTGTTAGGGCAGTGATGATGACTATGGGGACTTGGTATGGCAGGAATGCTTCTGAATGCATTGGAGTTCTTGCATGAAGATGACAAGTTTGGGTCTTTAAAACTCTCAACCTATGTCATGGTCAGAGAGTCATAGAGCTTCCAGGATAACCATAAGGGAATCTCTTATTCCTCCTAGCCCCAGATTTACTTGCTACAAATAAAACAAAATATCACACATGTTGCAGAATTGCAACAGTTGAATTCAGTTTTTTTTTAATGTTTTATCTATTTATTTGACAGAGCACAAACAGGGAGAGCCGCAGGTAGAGGGAAAAGGAGAAGTAAGTTCCCTGCTGAGCAGAGATCCTGACACTGGGCTTGATCCCAGGACCCTCCGATTATGACCTGAGCCAAAGACAGATGCTTAACCGACTGAACCATCCAGGTGCCCCTGAATTTCAGTCTTATTAAGTCTTTCTGATGATTGAGGAGGAGCAGGATCCTGAAATTTGGAATGGGCACATCTGGTTTGACTCTGAGTCTCCTCCGTTGTGCAGCAGATGGGAAGGGGAGCAAAGATCAGCACCTGAGAATTTTATGAGCCACCTTGTCACTTTCACTTGAATTCCAGTAGCTGGAATTCAGTCACTTGGTCACACCCATCTGTAAGAGAGGCTGGGAACTGTGGGTGTTGGTGAGAATGAATAGTTTATGTCGCATTACATGGGCCACTAGTGACATTTAACATAGAAGGTGGTTTTTTTTTTTAAGATTTTATTTTTAAGTAATCTCTACACCCAATGTGGAGCTTTAAGTTACAATGCTGAGACAAAGAGTTGTACGCTCTACCCACTAAGCCAGCCAGGGGCCCCAAGATAGGAGTTTTAGGGGAGTGATGTATACAGAGGCTAAATTTAAAAAGTAATAAGTGGGGGCGCCTGGGTGGCTCAGCGGGTTAAGCCTCTGCCTTCAGCTCAGGTCATGATCCCAGAGTCCTGGGATCGAGCCCCGCATTGGGCTCTCTGCTCAGCGGGGAGCCTGCTTCCTCCTCTCTCTCTCTGCCTCTCTGCCTACTTGTGATCGCTGTCTGTCAAATAAATAAATAAAATCTCTAAAAAAAAGTAATAAGTGAATAGGTGACATGGAGGTGGGAGCTATTCTTTAAATGAGAGAGAGGAAGATAACCCTGCCACTAGAGTGAGGAGGTAGCCACACATGTTTCTGTTGTTGGTATTTTTGTTTAGTTTTGCTATTTGTTTGTGTTTGTTTTTAAAGATTTATTTATTTATTTGAGAGGGAGAGCATGCACGCCCTTGCACAAGGGAGGGGAGGGGCAGAGGGAGAAGGAGAGAATCTTAAGCAGGCTCCATGCCTAGCATTGAGCCTAATGTGGGGCTCGATCTCAGAATCCTGAGATCATTGACATGAGCCAAAATCAAAAGTCTGAGGCTTAACCAACTGAGCCACTCAGTGCCCCTGCTTTGTAACTGATAGAGAGTGGAGCATGTGTTTGCAATCTCTATGAAAAGAGAGAGAGAGAGAGAGAGGGCTGGCCATGGGCAGAAAGAGGACCACATCTTTAAGATGAGAGACAAGGATTGATGCAAATAGGGAGAAATTCTGAGGTAGAGAGGAGGGAAGCTGAAATCAAGCAAGATAGTTCGAGTTTCTGTAAAGTGACAAGGCACAAGCAAAGGTTCAGTGTTGCAAAAGAACCCAGCTGGGTGGGACAACAGAACTCTACACTGAAACCAGTATGTCCAGTTTTTAACTTTGTTCTACAGCCAAGGAGCAAGACAGGAGGAAGCCCACAACGTGGATCCCTCCAAGCTGGGGTTCATCGAACCCAGAATCTTTGGCACCACCGGCATGGCTGGGCAGCCTCTGGTGTGTGTAACCATTAGTGATCCTTGAGGTCAATGTTGTTACCTTTCTATCCTGCTGCATTATGGTTTTGTGCTTTTTTAAAGATTGATTTATCCTAGAAAGAGCGAGATGGTGCAGATGGAGGGGCAGAGGGAGAAAGAGAATCCCAAGCAGACTCCATGCTGAGCATGGAACCTGACCTGGGACTTGATCTCACGACCCTGAGATCGTGACCTGAGCTGAAACCAAGAGTCAGATGCTCAACTAACTGACTCACCCAGGAGCCCCTGCCTCGTGTATTATGATTTTCTTTCTTTCTCTCTCCTACCCTAGTCTCTAGCTCTCTCTTTTCTTACACCTTTCCTTAGGTTTTCCAATAATCCCGATAGGATCTGTGGTGGACAGAACCTAAGGCAACCCCCAGGGATACCTGCTTCTTGGTCTTCACACGAGGGTGTGTGATCCTCTTTTTGAGTTCAAGTGGGATCTGTGACTTCCTTCTAACCTATAGACTATGGCAAAAGTGATGGGAAAGTCATCACTCCCATTACATGCATAATAAGTTTCATTATGTGAAACTCAATCTTAGCAGACTGGGACTAGAGACTCTCCTATGGACCTGACAAAGTAAGCAGCTATGCTGGAGAGGACCACATGGCAAAGAACTGCGGGAACCCCCAGGAACTGCAGATGGCCCCTGGCCCTGTTTTTGCTGCTTTGCTGACAGCCAGCAAAAACCCCATGCCCGGGGCGCCTGGGTGGCTCAGTGGGTTAAGCTGCTGCCTTCGGCTCAGGTCATGATCTCAGGGTCCTCCGATGGAGTCCCGCATCGGGCTCTCTGCTCAGCGGGAAGCCTGCTTCTCTCTCTCTCTCTCTCTCTGCCTGCCTCTCTGTCTACTTGTGATCTCTCTGTCAAATAAATCAATAAATCTTAAAAAAAAAAAAAAAAAACCAACAACCCATGCCCTGAGTCATACAGTCAAAAGCAAATAAGTTCTGCCCACAAACGTTGGATGGGCTTGCAGGTGGGTTCTTCCCCAGCTGAGCCTCCAGATGAGGATGCAGCCTGGATGAGACCTTGATTACAGCCTGAGACTCCGAGCAAAGGATCAGCCAACTGGGCCGGCGCTCCCGAGCTGGCACCTATGAGACAACAATGTGTGCTGTTTTAAGCCACTAAACTTGTGACCAGTTGTTACACAGCAATTTACACCCAAAATTCTTGAAAAAGACTGGGGCCCTATGGCATCAACCCTATGTCAGCCCTGATACCTAGAAAACCTTTGGTCGGGATCCCGATCACAGAGCTGGCTGAGGGAGGCGAGAGGTTGTGCCACACACACCTGCAAGGCACTTTGAACTTCAAGACAGTAGTTACCAGGCCCGTGGATTTGTTTCACAGCAGACTGTCCCCACCCCTACCCCAGCCTGTCCCCCGCTCTCCCCCCCACCCAATACCTATCCAGTCCGTCCTCAAAGCTTGGTGAAGCCTGGCCCTGGAACTACAGAGTGTCAGAAGTGGATTAAGAAGTCCACCCCTCGGGGGCGCCTGGGTGGCTCAGTGGGTTAAGCCTCTGCCTTCGGCTCATGATCCCAGGATGCTGGGATTGAGCCCCGGATGGGGCTCTCTGCTCAGCGGGGAGCCTGCTTCCTCCTCTCTTTCTGCCTGCCTCTCTGCCTACTTGTGATCTCTCTATCCAATAAATGAATAAAATCTTAAAAAGAAAAGAAAAGAAAACAAAAGAAAAGAAAAAAGAAGTCCACCCCTCGAATCCCGGCGTTCGTCAAGGTGCCTGGCACACACGGGACCCTCAACAAATGCTTTCCCTGTAAAACAACAGAAAGCTCCCGGGACGCGCAGCCCGGTAGTCGTGCAGAGGGGACCGCCGCGGCTCTGGGTCCGCAGGGACAGGACAGGGCCCCG